CGGTCAGCACGACAGTTGGCTAAAGCCAGGCGCCCTTCTGCTTATCTAACTCGTAAATGACCTGCATGCTGCGGTGGGCCTTGACATTTGACATGAAAAGCCGCAACATGTTTGCGCCCTGGGAGGGAGTGAGCAAACTTGTGGGCAAAACCAAAAACATTGGATGCTCTCAACTGCCTGTCCTCTGCGTTGTCGACTTGCCTGGTAGCACTCAAGCAGCCAGCTGCAACCGAGCAAGCTCTGTCAGCAATCTGCGCTGTGATGCTCAGGCTACATTCTCGGCAACACTTGGGGTCTGTGGCAGGTGGCCTGGCACTACTCCTTTCACTACCCCAGCAATCTGGTCCCCTGGCGCCTGTGCAACCAAGGACCAGGTCGCTCACTCGAGCTCTCGCATTCCTGGCTTGGAACTTGAGCCATCCACTGCAAGTTCGAGCACTAGGGGAATCAGACAGGCCTGCTAATTCTTCGGGCTGGATGTCAAGAGAGCGCCCACCCCCGTCCTCCAACATAACATCAGGAGAGCAAGAGGGGGGGGGGGGGGAATGTCATGCTCGTTATACAGGCACATACCACGGGTGAACATCGGGTCATCAGACTCGATTGCTGCCTGCATAAAAACTGCAGGCGCATTAGCTTCTTCTCGTGCTGTAACTATGCTGCTAGCTGACATTCATACAGACGGTGCTTGATGGTATCTTCACGCCCACACTCACAGAGGCCGTCCGTCGCGTAGCCAGCTATCTCCGCACGACTTCGCGTCCAAACACCATCACAGGCGCAGCAGATGGTCAGGAATTCCTGATGGTTGCTGAAACGCCTGCTCGCTGGGCTAACCACTCGCTTGATGATCATGGTGGGCTCATCGGAGCTCACTCGAGGCTCACTCACTTTCTCTGCCCGTGCTAACTCATGCTTTCTCTGAATGCCTGCACACAGCAACTGACCGAGCAAACCTGGTGATATTTGATCGATTGCCACCTCACAACCTCGATGATCAGACCATTTCGTCGCCGACGTCGCTGCCCAGCCTGCTCGCTGCGCCGCCAGTGCAGCTCGACGTATGGGCCCTCTGCTGATGGCCCAGCTCATCTCAGTATCATTCTCTGGTCGTACTTCATCCCAGAGCTGCAGGAGCCTCTGCGCACTGATCATGGCGCAGGGGCTGGTGCTGGCAACCCACGGCATGCGGCGCCATTGCACCGCTGGCGCCACTGCCAGCTTCGCCGATGAGTCGCCGTTGAGCACAACCTTGGCCGTCAAGCTGGCCCCATCCATGCGCAGGTAGCCTGCATCGCGCATGGGCAGCTCGTAGTTTACGCCATTCTGTATCATCCATGACTGCAATCTCTGCACCGTAGCAAGCTTCTGGAGTGATGCCAACTTTGACAATCCTTCCACACGCCTGAGCTTTGTCTGCGCCAGCAATAGCTTTGCGAAAGCGTCGAAGCTTCCGAAGTCGGCGTACCATGTTCGTACCACGCTTCTGCTTCTGCTTGCTGGCACCGCCAGCGCCACGACGCCTGCCTTCACTGATGTCAGTGCCGACGTACACCGCGTTCTGCTTAGCCACCTCTTGTGGTAGCCCAGCCGCTGCCGCAACTTGTTTAGCCAAAGGTAGCGAGCTGCCAACAACTACCAGCTTGTCATCGATTGTGGCTTCTATCATATCAGAGACCTCCACAAAGTCACGGTATGCACTGACCGCCAATTGCACCACAACTTCCGGGCTGCTGCTGGATAGCCTCATACTGTTATCATCGATGTAGCTCCGAACGGTCATCCATGCATGCCGTTGAACCAGCCAGTCAAACTCATCAACAGCCCATACTGTAATCGATATGTCACAACATGCACCACCTGCAAGGAGTCCAATCTCTGGGAAGAGAACCGACTCACTGTGATGGCCCTGCAGCCTGAGAATATGCGGCGCACGCCGCATGTTGTAGGCCAGCTTGACGTAGCCTGAGGGCGCGCCCTTAGTCAGATATTTGTCTCTGAGCCGTGACAATCGGATCTTCTCGTAGTACCCGCTGTAATCAGCAATGATGGTAACACCATGTCGCGCGGTGGCAGAGTCTGCTTCAGCCTCCGCAGCCTGGATCCATGCACAGTCGAGCGCGCTGCGTCCTCGTCCTGATCCCCAGTAAGGCCTGTCCAGTGCCACTTGCATCTGATTCAGTACACCACGCCTAGCTCTCTGCCGCACTCGATAGAATCCTGCACACAATACTATTAGACGATGCCCTTCTGACTTCCCTTTCGGAATCATCGGGGCGAGCACCCACGTGACCTGTCGCGGGGACAAGCCAATGGCTTCAGCACATGTGAGCAATTGTGGCACTATTTCCAAAGCCTCAACATCCAACATTGCAATGTGGCGAGGATGCATTCCATCAGCTGAGGCCGACGTCGTCTCTGGAAAGGACCGCGCAACCGCACGTGCCTGTTCCACCGTCATTGGTTGCAAATGTCTTCTGTCAGGAATCCAAGCTTCCGCAGGCCCCTTTGCACTCTGCCATAGCCGTCGGGAAGCTTCTACCTCATGCGCCAGCACTTCGTGCGGGTGTGCTGACAACCCTCTCTGAGTATGTACCACTGTCGCAACGTACTCCGGCTTGTACTTGGCCGTTTTGTGCAGTATTCGAGCTCCCCCTGCCGTTGCAGTAGCACACCAGTCCTTCCATTATCAAGACACATGTCGCGATTCACCTCGCTCTGCTAGCTCAAGGTCTTCAGCAATGTGCTGTACAAAACTGTCGCACATCTCAGGATCGATAGCCACGTCCAGAAAAGTCCTAGCTTCATGGACAGCCTGGTCTAGTCTGGCATCTAGACCTTGCCCCGAATACTCCGCCATGGACAACGCCACCACCTCTTCAGCAACTCGCAGGCTCATGCTGTATCATTGGTCGCTGCACGTTGCATCTGAGCAATATGGTTGATAGCACGCGCAAGCCACCTCCAGCCATCTGCTATCACTTTGGCGTCGGCAGGGCCCTTCATCGCATACTCTATATCGCCACCCATCTCGCCTGCAATGGCTTGCCGAAAGCGCCGTAATTCAGCGTGGAACTGCCTGCCACATCACCAATATGTCTTGCAGCAAGCGATGCAGATGGCGCCCACGCTCTCGATAGAAGGCACCAACCTGTCATCGCCCCAACATTCTCATCGCAGCACGCTTGTCTTGCAGCTTCAGCCACTGCTCTAGCAATGCGCCAGCACGGTGGTTCTGGTTGGGGCCCGACAATCTCCTCTTTTTCCAAAGGAAGGTACCGCAGAATAGACCAGCTTCCGCATGCTCGCCGCCGTTCCTCTGAGGTACAATACTACAGGCAGATGAGGCCTCTTGGACCACAACATGTCTGCACGAACATCAGAGAACGCCCGATTCGCTGCCGTGTTCAACGCCAAATAATCAATCGCAGTTTTGCCAGCACCACCACGGCACGTGACTGCCTTTGATGACCGTATGATCGCGCCGCGGAGGGTATGGCAACTTGATGCATTCAACTCCCTCGGTGGGAGATTCCTATCACCTGCAATGAGAACTGGCCTGCCCAGGCCACTCGCAATCGGGCCAACTCTTGCAAGGAACTGTGCATTTTTCGCGCAACCCCTACACCTGTGAACAAGTACAAATTGAAAATGTAAATTGAAAATGTGCAGCTCAACTGGCCAAATCGCTAGATCCACCACCACATGCTGGATCCGATGTTCCCATACTTGCATAGTACCAACAACAGGAGATCGCAGCCCATGTCCGTCACGAGCAAATACTGCTACACCTGCTCCTGGAAGCACTCCAGCAGCGGGATAGCAAGCCAGCGCCATCAAACGCCATCCCCGTCCATGTGCCCATGAGGTCAGAGCCTCAAGTTGATCGGCGAGGTGCCCGATCTCCTGGGCCAAGAGGATATCAGCTGAAGTAGCTTGCAATATACTTTTGAATGCGTGCTTGCCTCCACTCGCGTTGAAGGTCTCTATCGCGCGCACCACTTCTTGAGCAGTGTCATCGGCTCCCAGCGGCAGCGCATGTCCCCTCTCAGCCAAACCGCACACTCTGATCGCAACGCCATCTGTTCTGGCCGCGCTGCTCCTGGTGGGGTGGGGTGGGGGGGGGGGGGGGGGGGGCGCGACGCTCCGACGCTTTCAGGACACTGGGCGCCACCCGCATGGGCGCTTCGGGTCTGCCCCCCCCCAAATGGCATGAAATCCTCGCCGTTGGCGTAGCTCCCCGTCTCGACAAGGCACCCGTTCAGCCACGCAAATCCATCAGTCGTCGCCGTGCTGCTCCTGGGGGGGACGCGACGCTCCGACGCTTTCAAGACACTGGGCACCACCCGCATGGGCGCTTCGGGCCTGCCCCCCATCCCCCCCCCCCAGTTGGCGCGCAACACTCGCCGTCAGTGTAACCATCCACGTCGGCATGGCAATCGTCCTCCATCGCAGGTCTAGATACAGTCGCAGAACTGCTCTTTGGGGGGCGCGACGCTCCGACGCTTTCAGGGCACCGGGCACCACCCGCATGGGCGCCTCGGGTCTGCCCCCCCCCCCCCCCCCAGATGGCGTGACGTCCTCTCCGTCAGTGCAACCATCCACGTCGGCAAGGCAATCATCCTTCATGATGTTACCCCTGTCGTTGCTTCTTCCGCTGCTGCTCCTCAAAGCTAGAGAACGCCTGCGGGAAAGCTTCAACATTGCCGTCTGCGTGCTGGAACAACGCTCGCTTCTGACCCTCCGACAGTTTGAGCCCTGGTTCGTCATCGGTGTGCATCCCTGCATTGTCACCACCGTCATCAGCATGAGCAGCCCCATTAGCAGCATAAGGTTTGGCAAAAGCCTTCTGAACATGCTCCCGTAGCTTGGCCCAAGTATCTGACTTGATGAATTCTCGCACCTCAGGCTCGAGCTGATCTTCCTCAAACTCAAGCTTGACTCCATGGTCAGCTGGGCACGCCGTAGGAGGTCTCGGCGGTGCCATCGCTTCAGCGCTCCTCGTGAACTCCTCGTTGAGCGCCTCAACCTCCAGCCCCTTAGCCTCGAGGGCCTCACGCCTCGCTGCCAAGGAAGCTTGCATCGCCTCAAACTGGCGCTGGTTCTCGTCCAGCTCCTCCTGCATCTTGAGGTGCTGATTCTTGGCCTTTCCCAACCAAGTCTTGTTGCGCACGCCTGTGCACCGTTTGTGGCGGTAGCAAAGCCTTGCGTGCACTCTTCGCCTCATCCAAGTTCTGCTGCATCGTCTTGCGTAGCTCAGCCAACGCTGGGTCGTCACCGAGTGAGGCCAAACTCTTGTGCAGCTTGCGAATTCTTTCGGCCATCTGCGTGAAGGACCTGTCGCGCTCAGCCGATTGTCCTTCACCGTCCGTCTCCGTGGCATCAGGACCACGTTCCTCCGAAGCTGTGCGGGGAGGGGCTGGCGCAGGCCACGGGCGCGGCCCACCTGCGCTCGTACCTCCACACAGTTTCGGCCACACCGAGTCCTTCTCGATCGCTGCCATGAGCTTGTCAACTTAGGCGGACAGCTGCGCAACTGCAGAGACGTCACTTCCCTTGCCCCTGCCTTTGCTCTTGCTGCCTCGGCTGTCACCTTTGTCTTTGGTTGCGGCAGCGTGCGCCATACGTGCTGCCTTGACAACTCGCTGCGGCGCCGCCTTCCCACATACGCACTGCACTCTGCTGGCCCAGTTGGCCGCCCTCCCGCATGAGCACGCCCACACAAGCTTGCGGGGTCCGAAGAGGACCGGCCCTTCCTTCTCCATGCCGCCGTCGCGAGCGGCCTGCACTGAGCAGGCGGCCTTGACCTGGGCTGACAGGCCGCACTCTCGAAAGTCTGCCGCGGACAAGCGGTATCCGTTGGGTCCTCTGTGGAACAAAGCATCTTGAGCCAACATGGCTACGGAGGAGGGGGAGGAGGAGGAGTACGAGGAGGAGGAGTAGGAGGAGGGGGAGGAGGAGGAGGAAGAGGAAAACGAGGAGGAGGAGGAGGAGGAGGACGAGGAGGATGACGAGGAGGGGGGGGAGGAGGAGGAGGAGGAGGACGAAGAGGAGGAGGAGGAGGAAGAGGAGAAAGAGGAGGAGGAGGAGGAAGAAGAGGAGGAGGAGGAGGAGGAAGAGGAGGAGGGGGGGATGGAGGAGGAGGGGGATGGAGGAGGAGGGGGATGGAGGAGGAGGAAGAGGAGGGAGGAGGAGGAGGAAACGAGACCACCACCAACGCGAGGAGCCAGGGGGGTCCCCTCGTTGATGTGGTCTCCCTTCCCCGCCCGAAGCACCCTCCATCCACAGCTCGGGGAGACCTCGTGGGCCCCTCAATGTCAAGGTACATCCGGCCCGTCCCATAAGGATGCGCGATAAGGATGCAGAGGCTGTGGGAAGGCCGTTTCGAGAGTCTGCGAGCGGGGCGCGGCCAGCGAAAGTGGCCAAGGATGGACACAAGAGGCAATGATGCAAAGATGCCCCTGGGAAGGTTGCCCCATCCATACTATGTGGGCTGGCGGTGCCCATGCTCTGGTCTTTTTTGGGGGGGGTCGCCTTTTTCTCGGCCTCCTGGGAGACCCTCGGGCGCCACCGCTGGAGTCGCCTCGAAATCCGGGTCGTACGCACCCCGGGAAAGGTCCGGGGAATAGCGGTATCTCGGTACCTTTTGGTTTCCCTGCGTCAATCCCTGAAGTCTTCTTCTCCAACGAAGGAATTGTAGATGCCTTGCGGACTCGCGCGCGCGTTTGCCACGAGGAGGACGAAGACGGGGATGACAGGGAGGATGAGCAAAAGGGGGAAGGGTAAGAACGGGTGGGGGATAATGATAATAAGACAAAGCACGAGGGCAAACCGAAATAATGAGGATGCGACGGGAGAGGAATCGGAAGAGCAAGCGGGGGAGAAGGAGGATGACGACGAGAATTACCAGGTTCGGTTGTCCTCCTCCTCCTCCTCCTTCTCCTCCCCTCTCCCTCCACACCTTCCTTCTCCTACCCCTCGTGTCACTCCCCCCTCTCATCTTCCGACTCCTGCCCTTCCTCCTCCTCCTCCTCCTCCTCCTCCTCCTCCTCCTCCTCCTCCTCCTCCTCCTCCTCCTCCTCCTCCGCCTCCCCCCTTGATCACTTAAATATGGTTTCTCCGGGGCTCCAAATGTGTCTTCCAGGGCCCCAGTCAGCGGTGTAAACGGTCCAGCTCAAGCTGTTTGCCCTCCCTCCTCTCCCCCGCTGGTCATCCTGCGGGGCCCTCCCCGATCAGGCCAGAGCAGATGGGGTCGGAGAAGCGCGCCGCCTCGCCGATGCACCCGCACCATGGCGCGATCCTGCGACTCCGTTTGCTCCTGGCCCCAGTCGGGCGGCCTGCAATTTGCACCGCTCCCACGATTCAAATGAGAACAGCTGCAGAAACCTGCTGTGGGTTTCCAAATTCTGAACGAGAGGGGGGGACCCCTCCGACGGGGGTCAACCTCGCCTCGTCGTCGCGCCGCGATGGGGGTCGGAGCGCCTTTGCCGCGCGGTGGCTGCCCGCGACGGGGGTCGGGGTCGAGGTGACGCCCCCCCGACGCCTATTCAGAAGCTCGGAGTATGTAAACCCTCACCTCAGAGGTCCGCGCGGACCTCCTGCGTCGGCGCTGCGGTCCCCTGTGGCGACCCCTCCGCGGGGCGGGCCTTTCTGATGCTCTCCGCCGCGGAGAGGAGGAGGAGGAGGAGCAGGAGTGAGGAGTGAGGAGGAGGAGGAGGAGGAGGAGGAGGAGGGAGGAGGAGAGGGAGGAGGAGGGTGGAGGAGGGTGAGAGGAGGAGGAGGAGGAGGAGGAGGAGGAGGAGGAGGAGGAGGAGGAGGATTGGATGAGGAGCAGGAGGAGGAGGAGGAAGAAGAAGAGGAGAGATGAGGAAGACGGAGGAGGAGGAGGAGGAGGAGGAGGAGGAGGAGGAGGGCCTTTCTGATGTTCTCCCCCGCGGAGAGACAGCATCGGCACAGCCATCAACTCTCGGAGGCCCGCAAGGGTGTCCAGTATCGACGCTGGGCCTCCTCCCCCCGCGCGCGGAGCGCGCCGGGAGCGGCCTCTGGATGTGCCTCCAGGGTGGGTGGTCCCCCCTCCTCCTCCTCCTGCTCCTCCTCTCCTCCCCCTCCTCCTGCCTCCTCCTCCCCCCCCTCCCTCCCCTCCTCCTCCTCCTCCTCCCCTCTCCCCCTCCTCCTCCTCCTGCACTTCCTCCTTGCTCCTCCTCCTCCTCCTCCTCCTCCTCCTCTCCTCCTCCTCCTCCCTCCTCTCCCCCTCCTCCTCCTCCTCCTCTCCCTCCTCCTCCTCCTCCTCCTCCTCCTCCTCCTCCTTCTCTTCCTCCTCCCCCTCCTCCTCACCGCAGATCCATGTGCTGCGCCAATATGCCTCCGCCGTTGTTCTCTGTTCTCGCCGAGAGCGGTGCGAACCTGCAGGCCTCGCAGATGGGGGCCAGGGGCAAACGGAATCGGAGAATCGCGCCCCACGGCCGATGCATCGACGATGCGGCGCAGTCTGGAGCCCGTGCCTCTTCATCCCTTGAGCACGTCCTGGCATTCCTGTAGTCCTACCACGACATGTTCTTCGAACCCAAAAACGTTCGAATAACAAAAAAAGTGTTCTCAGAACATACCGATGTGCGAAAACAAGACAGACTCCGCCAGACATGTTCTAAGAACATTTCGTGGAAATCACAAACAGGTTCTTAGAACATTGACTGGTAGGGCTACAGGCGAGCCAGGACACGTCGCCACCGCTTGAATTCCTGGATGGCCACCCGTCCACCATCCCCCCAGCCACCGCCACAGGCCCCAAAAGGCGCCCGGCCGTCGCGTCCTCCTGAAGCCTGGCCCGCAGGGCGCCCTTGGCCACGTCGGTTGACTCGCCTGTGCGAGGGGAGCACGGGAGGAAGGGCACGGGAGGGCGAGGAGCAGCAGGACGAGTTGCTGTTGCTGCCACTGCTGAAGTCTCACTTCTAAAATTTTAAGTACTGCTGATCCCGCCTGCGCGGAAGCAGTTGTACTTTGCAAGGGAAGTGTTCCTCCCAGGGCTCGCATCCTCTTTCTTTCGGCGGTGGACAAGCCTCCCTTTAAAAAAACTCCCTTTAATGAAAACGGCCTGGGACCGAAACCGACGGACCTGGAACCGCAAAAATGACGGCCGCGACGCCCTCGCGCGAACAGAAAACGGCCAATTCGTTGATCGACGTGTCAGGGTAGGAGGTCTATCAACCTCCGATTCTTACAAGGGAACCAGCCTGTGCCCCTGGCCCCCCCGGTTTACAACAACAGCGGTTCCTGTCGAATACTTCGTCACAGTGCATTCCCAATTCGCGCCCTCCCGCGGGACTTCTTCACCCTTGATACAAGAGTCGCGCTCTCGTGTCGGACCTCCTCACAATTTCTTCTGACGCCGCGCCCTCGGCGCTCAGGAATCCTGTTTTCGCTGTGGATGCCTTGCGATGTATTTGGGAATCGCGCTTCCTCGCGGTCTATGCAGGGCGCACGCTTCCGCAACCCGCCTGCCCCTTGTCCCTTCTTTCCATCCGTCCTCGCTCCCCCTGCCTTAGATAGAGGTAGAGGGCAAACAACCCACCCACATAATAATCAACCCGACAACGAAGACCGTTTAGTAAACGTCCCCACTGAAGAATCGACCAGGGCAGGTAGTAAACGCCCCACGATTTACACGTTGCAGGTAGGAAAGATCTGCCCCTCAGGGGGGTACAATCGAAAATGAAAAAGGCGGGCATCGAGGGTTCGGAACATACGTGTTGACTGGCACGCGAGCAGAGAAGAGCGAACAGTGTTAGCATGCGTGTTGTTGTAGCTCTTATCATTTTTGAGTTCCCAGTTCGCCAGAATACGTATTGTTGACCCCCTCCGGTATGCAGTGCGTGGCTGGATTCCAATATGCTAAATTCAACCGCAAAAACAACCATAACAAAAACAACACCACTACCACTAACAACAACACCACCACCACCAACAACAACAACAACATCAACAATCATAATAAGGCTGGTAGCTCTTATTTGCTCGCGTGCCACTCAACACGTATACCTTATACCCAAGCCTTCGATACCCACCCTCTTCGCATTCGATCGGATCCCCTTGGGGGTCTATATTTCGCACCTGCAGCGTGTATTTCGTGCATCACCTAAGGCAGGGGAAGAGAAGGCGGGTGGGAGGAAGGGGCCAGGGGGAGAGAGGTGGATGCAACACGTGGCAAAACCAGACGGGCAGATCGGGCGGGTAGACCCTGACAGGCGGGCAGAGGAAAAGCAGGAGAAGGACTGTACAGTAAGAGCTCGATCACAGCCCTGGAACCCCAGGACGTCCATGGATATTTCGTGTGGGCGCGTCACGCTTCCCACAGCAAAACCATCGAAACCCAAGAAACCCAGGGCACCCTGGAGGCAAG